GGAAAGAGAAGTGTAAACATATGGTGGGCATTTTAACAAGGGAAATACACCATCCAAAGAGGTTTCGGGGATATTTCATACCATTACCTAATGACGCCTTACTGGATTCTGTCATCATTCAGAAATAATGCATCGGTTCCTGTGCTCAGAGCTTCGTAACCCTAAATTAATCCTTGCATCGTGAGACAGGTGCGGTAGTAAATCCCGCTGTGTCTGATCGGGGCTGGATACAGCCCCGAGGCACGTGTGAGGTTGCGCATGCCGTGCTGCCTGGTGTCTAAGTGTGCATTTAAGACGGCCGTGTGTCTGTCCCCAGCAGAAATTCTGGGTGAGGACATTGGTACCTGCCTGAGGCAAGCAAGGTAGAGCTGTGCCTGGTGCCCCCTCATGCATTCTGTGGGACAGGCACTTGCTCAGCCCCACCAGGAGGGGTGGAAAGGCTGCTTTTAATGTAAGGAATGGGTAAAAATACATATATATGCAGAGTGGTAGTGAGGATGTAGTAACGCTAAATGTTTTTTTCTTAGCTCTTTTAGAGATAGTGGTACTTTTAGAGACAGTGCTTTTAGCCTAAAGCAAGCCAGAGAGAGATGTCAGGAGAAGAATGATGGAAGGCAACAGGGAGAGGTGAGATGGAGCAGAAGGAATAAACATTTCACCTGTGCAAGCTGGGACCGACCACAGAACAAGGTTGGGCTGGTTTAGGTAACCAAAGAAAAATAAGGCTAATGTTTAGACGGAGTCTCTCTGCAGCAGGATGACAACTTAAGTACACCCACTTACGGTATCGGTAGCATGCATTTTTTCTGTTGGTGATGGCGTAATGCAGCAGTGGGCTCTGGCCTGTGTCGGGGCAGGAGCATCCCCCCTGCTCCTAGGAGCTCAAGGATGGCTGGCCATGCCTTGGCCAGCTGGGGAGCTTGTAAAGAGAAGGAACCTCAGGGGGGGCTCCCCTGCTTTTTCTTGGGAGATTCATGTCCAGAGGAGAGCCACAAAGCCGGTGAGGGGTCTGGAGCACAAGTCTTGGGAGAAGCGGCTGAGAGACCTGGGGTTGTTTACTCTGGAGAAGAGGAGGCTGAGGGGAGACCTGATCGCCCTCTACAACTACCTGACAGGAGGCTGTAGCGAGGTGGGGGTCGGCCTCTTCTCCCAGGTATCGGGTGATAGGACGAGGGGGAATGGTTTGAAGTTGCGCCAGGGCAGGTTTAGGCTAGACATTAGGAAAAACTTCTTCCCAGAAAGGGTTGTCAGACTTTGGAATGGGCTGCCCAGGGAGGTGGTCGAGTTCCCATCCCTAGAGGTATTTAAAAGATGGGTAGATGAGGTGCTTAGGGAAATGGTTTAGTGGTGGGATGGCAGGGTTAGGTTAAAGGTTGGACTTGATGATCTTAAAGGTCTTTTCCAACTAAAGAGATTCTATGATTCTATGCTTTTAGTCTGAGGCTCTTGCATCTGGCCCCCTCCTGAGCTGCAACCTGGGGGTGTCACAGCCTTGCCTGTGCCTGGCCCTGGGGACCACAGACCTGGCCTCCAGCTCTCACTGTGCCCTGGCAGCCTGGACTGGTGCTTCTTCTCTCACAGTGTCCGAGGCACGGGGACGACTGCACTCTGTTGAGCTGGCCACCCAGGAGTGCTTAACAGCCTAAACCTTACCAGAATGGGACATGCAGTACTGGGACGGGGGTTAGCCGCTCATATTTACAATTTTAAATTGTATTCAGATGCTGAAAGATAAAAGTCAGAAAAGTAATTCTCATTCTGCAGGTTACAGAGGGCAATGCTAAAAGACCAATTAATTGATTTTTTTATCTGCTGTTGGCTTGGTCGCCCACGAATACCACAATTCTTCTTCATTCCACTTACCCACTTTCTTCACACAGTAGCTGTACTGCATCATTCTGATGCATCTGATATGCTGCATAGTTGATGTTTTCAGTGAAGGTCGTTGGAGCACTGGTTTTCTCCCTGGAATTGGTGGCAGGAACTCTTTCATTTCGTGACTTACAGCTGGGGGTCAACAGTATTTTAGCAAGTGTATGCGAGGCAGTAAGTATCCGAAGGACAATAGGAGAGTGCTACAGCCACGACGGTGTAAGAAGGTCGGTGACGTTGGCCTGTGGGAAGATGAAAGACGTTGTCTAAGGCCCAGCTGATACAATTAAAATCAACACATCCTTCCAAGATCCCAAGGCTTCCCCAGATCAGTGTGGAGCACCTGCATAGCTGGGGGGGCCACCTAACAATTTCTAACAACCTTAGCAGCCCTCCTGGGTCAGATTCAGAAACCTGACCTCAGACCAAGTAAACTACATTGTAGTTTATGACTTCACGCTCCAACTTTCATCTGATCAGTGCTTGATTTAGTAAGGGGTAATGACTGAAGCCTGCTGTCCATGGTTTATGAGCATGCTGTCCTTGCGATTTTAACACGTAATGCCTGTACGAAGAAAATAACTTTGCATGTAGTCCGAGGGCTTCTTTCATCACTTTTCATTTAGAGGATCTTCTAAGAGAGCATTTTGCTGGAGTAAGAAGCTCAGCAAAAACTGTAATAAAGCAAAACTTGAAAGACA